AGGAAGAACATCTGGAAACAGATTCCCAACTTGTTTCCCCACCTTCAGTTCTACTCTGCCCCAGTCCATTTTGCAATGTGTGTTCTGCAGTGTTCTCCCTAAAACATAAATCTATTCATGTCAATCTTTTCTGAACATTCTTCAGGATCCAGACTTCTTATCAGGTGCACATTTCCAACACCTAGATCCTGGTGAACTTTCTATCTTACGTATTTGCTTTCCTGATTCCTTCAGTGCCCTCCCACCCCCTATGCTTTGAGTTTTCCAAATATATTGGGTTATTTATTTCTCCTTTGCATATGTGGGTTTTTATTCTTGTAGCACATTTCTGCTTCTTTTTCTTCTCTAATTCCTTCTCTGTCCTCTCTACCTCCTTTCAAAGAGAAGTCTTATTATTACCAGTTTCCTAACACTTTATTTATTTTGTTTGTCTCACAGGGGCTTTTATTCCTATAACATTCCTATCTCATAAAGAGCCCAGCACACACAAATTGCTCAATAAATACTTATTAAGTTAATGGAAAAAATAAAGGAGTGAATGAAAGCATTAGAGGAGAGAAAGGATAAAGAGGAAATGAGGTTTTGTTGCTGCTTTTTTCTTTTTTACAGCTGAAGAGGAGTGTTCTCAATGAGATAATCACAATTTTTTTTTTAATTTAAAGAAAGAAAAGCCATTTTCCAAGAGGGAGAGCACATTTAGACATCTTCTGTGGATTTTTAGAAAACAAAATTATCACCACTACTGTGTCAGTAGTTAGATCACAGCCTCATCTACCCCTTTGTGGGCATTACTCACGCCATTGTGGTCATAAAGTTCAGACCTGCTCTTACCACCTCTGCCACCACTGACCTGCAGCACCTACTCAGTATGGCTGAAAAGGAGGGATCACCTCACATTTGCTCTGGCAAAATAACACCTATCAAGTCCTTGGCTTCCCCCAGAGCTACCCCGAGAATCTAGGTTTTTACCTGTCAGTAGCATGGACTCCAATCAATAAAAGGCAGAGGAAGAGGAAATCAGGAGATAAATTGCTATTATTTTCTGCTCCTTTCCTCAAATGTCCGTTCTGAGATGCAGTAGTTGAAAACAGCCTCTCTGCAGAGACTCCCCATAATATACCCACTTGTGTTTACTTTCCCTCCTTCTGCTTTTCCATTCCCATCTTGTATGGCTATTGTGTTTTCTAATAAAGTGTTAACACATAAGAATTTACCTAAAGTTCTGTTTCTAGAAAACCAGGGCTAAATAAGCAATTTTTATGAAATTTACCAATGTCCAATATACTATTGACTATTAAAATGCAAATGAAATGAATTAGGCCATTTTTAATAAGAACGTTCACTTATTTCCACTGAATTGTGGTTGGTTCCTGGGGAGAGTTGAAGTTGTATAGAACAGTCACCAAAACAGGAGAGTCAGGAAGAATAATCAAGCAACAAAGAAAGAGCAGTTCTCATTGTGGAGTGTCAACAGGAGATAATCAGGAACACATGGCTCTGGTGAGTATAAGTGTATTCTTCAAACAGCAATGTTTGCATCAGAGGAGCATGTACTAAGGAGATGTTGTGCCTGTTTATAATTTAATGTTGCTCCCTATGTTATGCAATGTTACAGTGTTATAGTCCATGAAAGGAGATAAATCTACTGAGTCACCTACTCCACTGAGGACAACACAACTGTGTTTACATATTATGTTGGAATAGTTTTAAGACTCAGCGGATGATCAGACAATATGCAAACATCCAATGTTGAGAGAAAATCCAGAAGAAATGACAACAGTACATCTGCTCAGCAAGGCACTTTGGACTGTTCATGTGGGAAAATGAATTAAAATTTGGCCAGAAATAAGGAGAGTACTTCTTTAGTATGCAGACTTGGCAGATTCTACACCATGATCTCAATTCATACTGAAAACAACTCTAGATATTGAATCAGATCCTACTGGTAAAAGTGTGGAGGTCAAAGTTACTCATCTTAAGTATTTGCTACTACAGAAACCTCTGTTGCTAAGCTGATAAAGTGCAAAGTGTCCTTTCAAAGATGCAAGAAAAACTGAGATATACCACTTGTTCATCAATGAATGAAAACTGATTTGAAAAAGACTCTGAGTATATGCTAGTTTCTCAGAGTTTATCCCCACAGACATTATCATATTCACTGACAGATTTTTTAAAAATATGCTCAGCTGAAGACTTTCATATGATTTTTTTTCATCTTAGGTTTACTCTCAACTTACACAACCTGGATGAACAGTTGAACATTTAAACACACTGGTTATTAAATTTCCTTTGTGGTTTTTAGCATCTTTTTATTTATGAATATGCGACAAAAATAAATGATTTTTCCTGGAAATTTATATATATGCATACATACAATATATTGTACAAAATTTATGGGATTCATAGATATTTTATACATCCAAATACATTCTCTTTTTTTTGTTGTTCTTTTTTAGATTTCCATGACAGTAGAGTGTATTTTGATATACATACATGGAGTACATCCAAATACATTCTTGAATCCAAGAACTTTTGGAAACACTTAAGATGCATGGATTCAACTTAAGAAAAACTCTAATAATACGAATACTTAGACTTGTCAGTTAAAAGTAATAACAAAATTCAAAATTTATCGATAGAAACAATACTACTTCTACAAAACACCTAAAAGCTAATTCTAGGTCTTTAGGAACACCTATACAGAATTTCCTCAGTTATTTTTTAATGAACTTCATAAGCAATTGTTTTGTATAATAATATACATTGCTCCTATATATACACCAACATATTGATTTCTTTCTTCATATTTGATATCTGAAATAATATTTCATCATTTGCAATTGAATTATTATTTTTAGAAGATATATTGCAAGTAGTATCTATTTATATCTGGTTTTAACTGAAGACTGCATAGTAGCTTTTTTCTACATTCCTTCCTATATCTAATAAATACTGGATCTAAAAAATCAGTGGCCAACAAAGGATAAAAATGGAGATACTAGGCAAATGTTTGAAAATTCAGTTTTCATATCCACTAGGTTTCTAAACTATAATTTTGAATTTAGAATCTTGCTTATGTTTAAACTATTTAAGACTGTGAATCATTTGGAAACCCAAGTCATCACATGTTTGGCATTTTTGGTAAAGAAAATTCTAGAGTGAATGTTTTAAGATGGTTTATAAGTAACAGAAGATCCAAAGCTGAAATGGAATTTTCTGTGACAACCTACAAATAACAGTTAACATATTCCTAAATTACAAACAAAGCAGAAATCATGAAAAGTCAAGTAAGGCAGCAAAAAAACAAACAAACAACAACAACAAATGGCTGAAAGTTAATGAGTAAAACATTTTATATAAAATTCTTAGAAAATATTTTAGGCATTTAAATATATAACTGTCTCCACTATTTTTAAAGAAATTACATTTACCACTGCTAGAAACTAACAAGAAGTGACTTTTAAAGTCAGTTTCATCCATCATAAATTTGATGTGTTCAAGAAAAGAAAAAGTGCAAATAAATGCTAGTGCACATAAACCCAAAATACACATTCCTCAATAATAATATAGTGTCCAAAAATTGATTCACATTTGCAGTTGAAGTTTCAACCAAGGGTGTATCTACATATATTATCTGCTATTGTTTGTCATATTTCTTGATCAAACGTGTTCCTTGACATTATAGCTAACAAACACAGACACTCAAAAGTCTTCTGATTTTCTTATTTAAATGTAATGTTATTTTGTATTTCAGTAAGTTCTTCCAGTTGTGGTTCCACAAATTATAATGACAGCTTTGAAATTACATTTATTGAGAGCAAAATTATTTATTGAGAGCAAAGTAGGAACCAAGTGGCTTGATTTCTGTTCCTCTGGGGCTGCACCATGTCATAATGCTAGCCACATGAATTAGCTAAACATCTTTAAGGGTCAGTAGTCTTATCTATTAAGTTGATGACAATCATACCTACTGTACCTATCTCACAGTATTGTGAGTCTAAAAGCAATAAATAAAAGTGTTTTTTAAAACAAATAGTAGTGACACTGGCGGTGTTGGTAATGAGGGTAGTAGCAATAGGATGGCATCCAAAAGGAGATTCTTTTCCAAACAATAACCATCATCAAATAGACCTAAATCTACTGTAGATATAAGATACTACTCACTGATTACTAAATTATCGTGTTATAATCCCTGAGGTAGCAGAGAATTCAGTGGCTTTGCCACCATGGTTTTTGTATGCAGGTTTTGTTTTTCTTTTTTACACTGGACTATGTTAAAGGCTATTCTTATAAGCTAGAACAAAGTGGTGTATTAAAATAGAAATTCTTTGTTCCCTTGGTTTGTGGTTTTTTCCTACACTTAGTAAGATTGCTAGTGAAGTTATCCTGAATAGTGTAAATACACATTAATCTCTATTTCTATAATTCTATGAACAAGAAAACACAGTATGTCAATTAATATGAAGAAACCTATGAGACTATTCCTTTAAACACCTCAGAAATTAAAAAAAAACACTTGAGAAATTTAATCACCAAGGAAGAACTGATTTAGCCAATTATAAAATGGAATTTTGAAGTTTCTGAGTCTGGCAGGGTCTGGGTACTCATATTGACTACCTTGAGGAAAGAGAGGCTTAGTGTCTATGAAATTTTGAATCTTTGATTTATGTTTCAGATCTTTCATCCTCAAATCACTTAGATCCCTAGTATTTTAGGAAGGAATCACATCACTCCCCTCCTCCCCTCCAAATTATCTATTTCCTTCCACTGAAATGAAGTGAAATTCTAGAAGATAAAATAAAGGCCAGAACTTTCTGGAAGTAAATATAAGAAGTTGAAGCTTATGTAACGTGTTTCCCTGTCAACAGGTCACTCACAGGGCTGTTTATACTCGGGATGGCTTGCAGAAATCATGGAAGTTAATTTTAGTTTTACAGAAAGGACTGAGAGTCAGATTGTGGTCTTTGCAGAAATTGCCTCCTTTAGCTTGTGAATCTTACCTTTCTGATTTCCGGTGCATTACCGGAGAGAAGGAAGCACTGTTTGTCCTGGGTATGTCCTTTCCTGCATCTGCTCGCCTGAGTCTCGGTGGGTGTGTGGGGGGCAGCCCTGGGGACAGCGGTTGTGAGCTTCCTAGTCCCTCGGAGGGTCAGAGTCTGATAGAAGAGACAGATTGCCACCACCAAGACCACAAAAAAGGGCCGGGGGCAAAATCGCCGACGACAAAGAAACACTGGACGACAGATCATGACCAGTTCAGCTTCACTTGGCCCCTGTCCACGTTGCCGGAAAAGTCATAGCAGCTATTTTTTGTCAGCATGAAAAATACAAATGTGTCTTCTTTTTCCACAACTCCAATCAAGTTTGCTCCATCTCCGCTTAAGAACTTTCCAAAGCGTCATGCCAAAAGATCGTAGGTCCCAAAAAGTCTGAGGTGGTTAATAAAAGTCCTTCCATGAATGACAGTGAAAAGTGACTGACCTCGGTTAAAAAACAAATGAAAATATTAATAGACTATTAGTTACAAAACTAATAATCTGAGTGCATCCCAGGCTGCCAAACGGTTGGCTTCCGGCAATGTCTTATTTCCACGACATCCTTAAACTCACAGAAAAGGAGTCCAGCTCTGTCCCAGCTTTACAGAAAAAGAGAAAAATAACACCAAAGTAAATCTGGAGTCGGAAAACAGCACGGAAGAACGCAATAGGTTAAAACCCAAAGTGCCTGTTGCACAGCTGGATGCAGGCCAGGTTGCCCTAGCAGTTTTTCCTCCGGTTTTAAAGCAATACTGTTTCAGCCTTTTATGTTTCTTAACTGCTTCCCTCCATTCAGTTTTAAATTGCCACTTTGCTGTAAAGCATCCACGACTTTTAACATTAAGAGGGAACAAGCGGTTTGAATGGACATGATTAGTGTCAGGGTTTGGCTTGTCTTGGTTTCATTCCGTTTCAAGTTCGTTCTGTGTACTTACTCAGTTTTCATCCTTTTAGCCAGAAAAAAAGTTTCCATGATCCCCCTAATGGATTGCTGATCAAAACCACTCGGAAGGAAACGCCCAGTCGTATGACTCCAAGTCATCTCACACACCCCGACACACACGCGCAGACACACAGACACACACGCGCGCGCCTGCTACACACTCGGCCTGGAGCTGGCGGACCTGGGGCATCGCAGCCACCCAGGCCGGCGGAGCGGGGCGGGGCTAAGGCCTGGAGCTCCTCTGGCTCTCCCAGGGCAGCCGGAGCCGCGCTGTCAGCTCTGAGTTGGAAACGGTGGGCTTCCACAGACTGGGAAAAGAAGTTTTGATTTTCCCTGAAATGTGGCTGCCTACCCAGAGCTGCAGAATTTGGAAACATATCTGCTGTCTGATTCGCTGTTTAATTGCTTTTTTTTTTTTTTTTTCTAACACAGCATTGGAAAAACAAATAGTTCTTAGTCAATCGATGCCAAAGGTCAAAGATGAGACTAAAGCAGACTCAATTAATTCGTAAGTCCTTCACTCTGGGGAATTGTGGTCACACTTACAAGGATAAGAGGGCCACCAGCACTGTCTGGACCACATAACAGGAAATCTTGTTGCATGCACCAGCATCAGGATAACTGAAGTCCGTACTTCTTTCACAGTAGTTACTAACACTTATTTCCTGAACTAATGTCCGGGTTTTACAAAGCCTAATTGCTACTTTGCTTTCTAAAATGAATTGTATGTAGCAGATGTTGGTGTAATTTTTGCCCAGTAGAAAGCGGTACACAGCCAGCTTTGCCCAAAATTCAACCCAGTATAATTCTATACAAACCATCACATGGACACTGCTGGTCCTGCCAGTTGTGCAAACTCCATTCCCTTTTGCTGGGTCAGTTGAAGGACCATCAAAGAGAATCTGCTGGGGCTTGTTGCTCCCTCTCCCAGTCCTTGCTTTGCGAACTCTGGATAGTAGGACTGGCCTAGACCCATGGAAGACATTCTTTGAAGGCTTTGAACCTAGATAGCTGCTATAACCTTTTCTAACCGAAATTCTTCCTTGTGGGCTGAAATTCTCCACTGAAGCCACACCCCTACAGTGAACCCAATCCAGAGGCAAGCTGCGTGCGGATCCGTCGCTTGTATTTTATGAGAAGGAGCGCCCTCTAGGGGTGCCCAGCTAACGTAGACTCAGAGAAATGGGCATCTCTGAATCTTTGCTTAAGAAGAAAAAATATCGAGTGTCTTAAAAATATTACTTAAAGCATTAAAGAATAAATATTCACCATAAAACCATATTTATTTCAAGTCTGTGTTTTCTCTCAGAACATTTTATTAGTTAATATAGATTCAGAGTCCTCAATTCCATGACAAATGAAGAAGAAAATAATGAAGTGGCGCTTGACATTGAAAAGCCAAGAGTTTTAAGAGGAAATGGTTAGACAATAGTGTTGTAAGACGTATAATTTAAGGGGATGTAATGGGACTTGAAGGATACTAGGAATTATGAGATCTCTAAGTTGGAATGGTCCCTGAGCTAAAGGAATGCAGAATATGACAATGCTGCTTACTGGGTGATACGGAATGAGCAGGCTGTTCTGTTGAGGCCAGAAGTCTGAAAATACAAGGTGTGAGAAATCTGAAAGACCATTTTTATGCATCATTAAATAGCCGGGTATAACATATAGAAGGAAGAGTAAATCAGATGTGCAGATAAAATTGCCTTTGGGTTGGGGGAAGTGAAAAACAATAGCATTAAAAGTTTAAATAAGATGCTAAAGTTAGACTCAAATAATAGTAATCAAGAAGAAGATGGGGAAAAAAGCATTCCAGAATGATTCTGGAAAGTTGAAGAACCCAGTTTCCACTTTAACCACTGAGTCCCAGGGAGCAAGAGAAGACAATAGATAGAGGGATATTGGCAGGAGAAAGAAGGGGGGTTGTTAAAGTAAGACCATAGGAAAGAAAGTACAGTACAAAATTTCACCAAATCATCTGAGGAGATCCACAGGTGACATCTGATTTTAGAGTAAACCCAATCTTGATGTGACCCTAGCATTTACTGCCTATTATCACTGTTCTTAAACAAGTGATTTGACTTATGTAAGTCTCAACCTTCCGCATCTGTGAAATAAAGACACTAACTTTGAAGTGTTGTTGGCACAACATAGATGATAATATACGGGAAGCACTTAGACATCTGTGAAAACCTCTTGGGTGAGTGTATGTTGAGTGCAACTCTGATATCAAAGTTTTGAACCTGGAAGCTGTGCTCAGTCCTCACTGAACTTATGGTGTGCTGTGGTGTGAGACCACGTACAGATAAGTATCAAATATTGGGCTTCATGGAAAATAAAGTACCAAAAGTAAACACCAGCACTTATTAGTTGTTCTCTCACTTTCAGTCTTCTAGATGTAGGTGAGGCAGGTGCTGGTTTGTCCTTCTAGTAGAAGGACAAAGGTGCCATGAAAGTGAACTTATAGGGATGACACATGGGATATAGTCATGACTAAATAGGAGGTTAGATCTATTTGGGTTTTCTCAATTTAAATTAAAAATTTAATACTTAAAAGCACAAAACTATACACTTTAATGAATACCATGTAACGTTTTGTACATGAACGTATTGTGTAAGGTTTAAGTCAGGTTAAAAGTATATACGTCCTCAAACATTGTTCATTTTTTATGGTGAAAACATTAAAATCCTTTCTTCTAGCTTTTTGAAACGCACAGTACATTGTCATGATCTACAGTAACTTTATTGTGCCATATCACACCAGGACTCTTTCTCTCAATTATTGCTTAGTCCCATTGATTAACTGTTCTCCATTTCTCCCTCTCTACTACCAGCCCTGACCTCTAGTAATCACCTTTCTACTCTCAACTTCCATGAGATCAACTTTTTATATTCCTCATATAATTGAGACCATCCAGTACTTTTCTTTGTATGCTTGGATGCTTTTGCTAAAACTAATGATTTTCGTTTCCATCCATGTTGTCACAAATGACTGGATTTCATTCTTGTCATGGCTGAAGAGTATTACACTATTTATATATACTACGTTTCCTTTTCATTTGTTTCTGTTTCTTGGCTACTGTGAACAGTGCTGGCAACGAACCATGGGAGAACAGATGTCTCTTTGGCATACTAATTTTATACAAATTGCTGGATCATGTTCTATTTTTAATTTTTTGAGGAACCTCCATACTGTTCTCCTAATGGTTGTATAATTTATATTCTCACCAACAGTGTGAAAGGGTTCCCTTTTCTCCACTTTCTCACCAGCACTCATTATCTTTTGTTGGTCCCTCTCTTCCTCTTTCTTCTGGTACTGAGGATTGAACTCAGGAACACTTTACCACTGAGCTTCATCTCCAATCCTTTTTGTATCAAGAAAGGGTCTCAGTAAGTTGCTGAGGCTAGCCTCAAACTTGCCAACCTCCTGCCTCAGTCTCCCAAGCGTCACTGGAATTATAGACTTGTGCCACTATGCCAAGGCTCTTTTGTCTTTTTGATATGAATTCTCTCTGGAATGGGGTGACATCTTACCATGGCTTTGATTTTCCCTGAGAGACATTAAACATTTTTTTCAGATGTCTTCTAGTAATTTGTATATTTTCTGAGAAATGTCTACTTAGTCTATTGCCCATTTTTTAAAATCAAACTTTGTTTTGTTTTTGCTATTTTTTTTAGTTCCTTACAGATCAGATATATTTCCATGGAAGGCTAAGTAGAAGCATGAAATGAAGTTTGAAGGCATCAGACCAGAGAACACTAAAGCCTAATAAGTTGGGCCAGTGAGGGGATCGGGAGGGTAAATGTACAGTAAAACTAGGAACTAGGGATTCTGGCATGTTTCAAATTGAATGCTTCTATGCATATAGTTCCACAAAGTACCCTTTCCATTCCACAATTGCAGCATTCAAGGGCACATATTTAAGTAGCACTAAGACAGTAGAGACAACCCTATCCTATAATTTCAAGGTTGTACAAAACAGATCAATCTTCCTCCCAAATCTTTTCAGCATAAAATATCAGAGCAGTATGATGTTAACAACCTTATAATCTCAGTGGCTTGATACAATAAAAGCCATTTTTTTTTTAATTTTTTGTGTAGTGCTGGAGATTGAACCTAGGGCCTTGTGCATGTGAGGCAAGCACTCTACCAACTAAGCTATATCCCCAGCCCCAAACCCTGTTTCTTTTATCATTTTTCAATGTTAGCCAGTTTCCACACTTCATTCCCAGGGTTCCTGCCATCTGCTCAGTTTCTATAGCCTAGACT